CCCAAAAAAAAAAAAAAGACAGCACAACATGCAACTAAGCTAATGCTCTCTTTTGATTAAAAAGCTTCAACAGAAAACAAACAGCCAACAAAAATTTTAAAGCTCTGGCTGCAAAGTAACAGCTCCAGTAGAAATCTCAAAAAATTACAGATAACTGAAGTAAAGATGCCATTTTTTGATACATTTTTTCTGGTTTCAGAGTACACCAAAAACATAATTATAGCTGCAAGCAAGTATATTTACCTACCTTTGTGGTGTCTGTTGACCAACAATAGCACTTGCAGTTTCTCTCAAATAAATTTCCCAGTCCATCTCAGGAATGTCTTGATCAGCAGTAAAAGGATACCTATACAATAATACTAATTTTTAAAAAATAATATCAAAGCAAACTGTCACCTACTCTAACAAGGCCTCGGAATCAAGTTCATTTATGTGTCTGAGAGTATAATTTACATTAATTTTTAGCAGTGACTTACTGCTGTACTCTGCAGGACTCGCACATAAGTAGTGCTTTCCGAAGATTCCTGCCTGACTTTTCTGCAAGTCTTTGAGCCAGTTCCTGAGGAAGAGTCAGACCTTCTTTCTTACACACACTGGATAAGACATGGCAGATCTAGATAGAAAAGAGATATGCGACACATAACAGTTCAGCACCTACAGATTCTCCTGTTTTAAACATTTCTGGACAAGAGATGGACCAGCCTTTCATGAGACATGCTTAACAAGTCACCCACCACAAAGAATAACTAGGTCACTTTGTGGAAATAAAATATTTCATAAGTCCATTGCAATAAGAAGTTTTAAATAACTTATTTCTGCTTCCATTTCAACATACATCTTCAATGCTGGGAGCAGGCACTCGTACAGCCAGGCATCTGCTTTGAATAGGTCCTATAATTTTTGACATGGAGTTGCAGCACAGGATCAACCTGCAGGTTGCCATGTACTTCTCCATTGTTCTTCTCAAAGCATGTTGAGCATCTTTAGTGAGTTTGTCGACTTCTGTTAACAGCACCACTGGAAAAGTATTAAAAAGAGTGGGGTTTTTTATTAATATCAAATCTCTCTAAGAAAATGAGTACTTCATCATACTAGACCAATAATGTATCAATAACAATAATACCATCAATAATACCAAAAATGACACAAGCAGAAAAAGGCTGCATGGTTCCGCAAGCGGGAAAATAAAGACAAAGACAACCTGCATGACTTTTGACTGTATAATCTTCTTCACACCCAACATTCATTACTAAAATGTCAATTTCTTCAGAGCAGGGCTTGCAACACTTCAGTGCCAAGAAATCCAGGTAAGCATAGAAGCTTTCACTTGAAAAAGTTACTGTACTAATTAAAGGAATTTTTAAGTAAGAAATGGAAAAGAAATTATGGCATAAGGACACACCAAAAAGCAAATAATTCTTGAAGACACCCCTCAATACATTTTATATTTAAAAGCCAGTGTCTTAGCTTAACAAAGGAGTAGTAGAAAGCTGCCTTGTTACTGTAGCTGCAGTGCCTTTCTATGGTATGTTAAAGGAAAAAATAAAAAATATTTTAAAATGCTTCAGAACAATCAGGAGACACCTAATATAAAGCAGCTAACCCAACCAGCTACTTTCTGCAGGCTCCTCCATAGGCAACTCAGATGGCTCATTTCAGTACTCCGAATGGTCCTGTGAGAACAGCCTGGAGGAACAAGTCAGCCCATTACTCTTCTCCCATTTCTCTTCTGGTTGTATATGCAACCTAAGGAGACTAGTCAGCTTACCAGATACTTTGAGGTGCGTGGTATGACTGCAACTCTAAGGATATATGCATCAGTTACTGGTAGAGTGAGTGTCTAGCAGCTTAGGTGAAACATTGTGTTTTCCTTGCTGATCTCAGGAAACAAGACAAAGCCCTAAATCCATGACCATTTTCAACCAATTTCTCCTCTATTCTATCTGTCAAAATTTCCTCTCTCCTTCAATCTTTTGTCATATAGTTCTGCCTTTACTTTCAATTTAGTCATGGGGAGGAAAAATAAGCCAGTTGTAGCAACATGTGTCTTGGAAAACTCAATGAAAGCCTTCTTCATTTTTTTACGCAGTGTTCTTCCATACACGATGGATAAAGTGCTTCTAAACTTTCTGCCTAAGATAGCTCATGTCCCAAAATGCTATAAATAAGCAGCTAACACCTAACTTACATAGCACTGTTTACCATAAGGTTATCCTGTCCCCCAACTCAGTATTAAGCCTCAGTAGCTAACTCAACTACTACTGTAGATCATTAAATCACAGTGCATTTCAATGGTAGACTTGGGGAAAACACAGCAGGAATCTGAGCTCCCTCTGCCCAGCCAGTCATTCAACTACACCCTGTCCTCCTAAGAAACCAACACAAGGACAACCTCATATTATTTAGTATTTAACCACTTAAGATATTTACACAGTGTATGAAAAATGGTAGATTGTTTAATTTGGGAAAGGTTCATGCATGCCCTCATGCAATATGTAGGTACAAACAAAACAGCTGAAGTCTCTGAAAAACAAGTTTAAAAAGTACTTTGACTGGTTTTAACTGTTTTTACTCACCTTTAAAATCTCGTTGAGTACTTGTCTCAAGCTGTTGGGATTGTGCTACTGTCTTCAAGAGTTCCTGAATTACTACACGGTCATTGTTTCCCGCATCACTGTACCAGGAGTTTGAATAAGACTTGTTTTAAAACAACTTTATATTGCATACAAAATATATACTCCTAAGCAGCCCCTTGGTCAAGTGACCAAACAAAAATGACAAAAGAATTCAGAAGCCGTCAAGGTTAGAATTAAGCTTTTGTGTGGTTAACTGTCTTTGTCCATTGTTTTCCTGGAACCTTTGGTGTGGTCACATAATGTCAAGGGTAATTGTTTGCTATGAAATTATAACTATGGATTTTCTGTTACTGCAGAGAATAATTTAAATGTTAAGAAACTATTTTAATCACTCCATTTCTAAAAACTGGCCTGTCTTGTAAGAGAACTGGCTTGTTTCATTTTGGTTTTTGCTCTAATTAAAGGTCTGCTCTCTTGCTGAAGGACAGATCTCCACAGTCAAAGTCAGCATAGCCTATTTGGCACATTGTGAACTGTTGAGCTAATATGCTTCTGTCTGTTCTGCTGCCTTCTCTTTGGCAAGAATGGGGAAGGTCTGGTTCAATGATGACTAGAACAGGACAAATGCTTTTTCATTTACTTGCCAGTGAAATATTGCAGAGCTACTGCTGTCTCTGTGAAGGCAATAGTCTGGGGACGCTAAAGAGTGTGAGGATTTTTTCCTCTTGTTCTTTTTTCAGTAACCTTAATTTTTGTTGTTCCTCAATTGTTTCACTACCCATTTAGTCAGGAAAATCCATTTTTAAAGCTAGTCAAGTGACCAGCAGAAAACGCTCTGGAATTCAGGTAATGGCCTCCTTTTGGAAGCAAAAAGAACAGTTCTATCTAATGAAGTTCAATAATAAATTCCATGTCTGTGCAGAGTCCTTTCCCCTTCCCAGAAGTTAATTTCCTTTCCCTGTTAGCCATTTATCATGTTCCATGTTACTCAAGATGCACAACATGATTTCACAGTATTATAATTCAGTCAAACTTCATAGACTATAGCACTGTATGCATAGGCTCACTGTCTGGTCAGACATAAACATGACAATTGCTTGAGCACTTAAAGCCTATGAATCAATATATTAATTCTTAATCAAAACTCAGTACTACTATTATATACAATAACCAACACAGCAGTTCTACACTTTCAGGATTTTTAAAGTAAAATACAATTATTTTATACAAGCAAAAAGTACTCTATGGAGAGTAATAGAAAGAGAATTACTAGTATTAGGTATCAGAGCAGATTGAATGGTCACACATTTTGTATCAGACATTCAAACAGTTAATTACCAATAAATTCTCAGCTTTATTTATTTGGATTTGTATTAGCATACCAGAACATATTCACTAAACAGAGATTAGTTGCAGAACAAGCTTTTAAAGGAGACATGGTACATAAGAATAGCCTCTAAAACAGAGCAACATGAGAAAGTGTTTAGCAATCAGCACAAAGCTATGCAATTGCAACCCAGACAAAGTCAACATAACCAGTCTCCCAGTGCACAATAACATTTACTCTCGTGATTTAAAGCAGATTAAAGGGATTCACATAAATACAAATAGTTCACTGACCCAAAGTAAATATCACCAGCAATTTCACAACTGTCAAAAGAGACATACAGTACACCATTATAGCTTTTGTCATTTAAATCAACATCTGACCTTGCTCATGACAGAACTCCCAGTATTTTGTGGTAGTGTTCTTTCCTGTGCTCTAAGATCTTTGTTTTAAGAGTTACTGGGTAAACTTGCTTAATTTCAAATCACTTCATTTTTGCTTCTCTGCAAGAGCTAACAATATGGGGGTGTTGGTTCCAATAAAAGTTTTCATTTCAACTTAAATGGTTAAATCTATGAATCCAGAATCATTTCTGTTACCTAGTCCTTACCAGCATGCTTACGTGGCTAGTTAAGCAGAACATTACTGTCTTTAATATACAGTAAACCAAATTTTTGTTCATTTAGAGCTGTTCGATTAAAAATCATCTCCTTGCTCCCATTTGCAGTCCAAGCCTATAAACCATTATCTAATTTGCTCAGGCAAGAAATTAGACAATCAGGCCCTTATATACCCAGGTTGAAACTACTTGTAACATGACCAACAGCTTATATTTGAAGTGAGACATTTTTACTGTACACTTACCTTGGGTTAACTTCAAGGTGATAATTACTTGCAATGGTGCTAATTTCAATTTTCTTTTTAGAAGGTGCCTATGTAGAAAATAATTAATTAAATTAAATTTCATAAAGTGTTCTAAAGATTTGATGCAAAAATTCATCTTACAGATTACAATTGGCTAGGTGACAGGCAAACCTAGATTTATGCATCTCCAACCCCCAACCCCAGCTCCAAAGAAGAAAAGAAGTACTGACAGATGATCCAGCCCATAAAATAATAACAGTAGTGATTATTATAGCAATGCATAGTACATATTATTGCATACTCCAGTTACTGAGTTTTGTAACAAGAAACCTTATTATTGGAATGAGCCAAAGTAACCAATACTCCATTCCTTGCAAGAAAAGTTTTGGAGGGAAAAACCTCTGGACAAGCCTCAAGAGGCTGATTACTTCTCTTGGCCAAGGATTTTGAGTCTATACTTCCTTTAAAGTAAACACTAGTATTTTTAACACCACTGAATTTGGGTCTGAACAGTTAAATATATCTGGTATTTCTGTCATTCGGTGCCAAGTATTGTATTTGTTCCACTACTGAGAATTAAAAATCAAACATTAAATAATCTACTTTTGAATAAAGCTTGATAACCCCTTGCTGGTTAAGCCTTCCATAACAAGACTTTTGAATGGATAATATAACCTTTTAATAATAAACAATTAAACACCTAAGACCAAGGCAGATAGAATTTAAATTTACTTTTTTTTGCTAATGCTGAAATTGTCCCTATAAGAATGAGAAAACAAGTTAATACTTGCATATATGCAAAAAGCAATGCTAATAATTTTAAAAATAAGGGTTATTTTTACAGACAAATTAAATCCCTTACATCTAATTGAGAGCTAGTCTATCACAACACATGCTATTGCCCAAACCAACCTGTAAAAATCAAAAGAAAACCAAAACCAACCAGCCACAGAAAACAACAAAGAAACACCACATCCTCCCACCCACGAAGACCTAAGGAACAAGAACATCTAGCAAAAGTATTTGTTCATGTAGCCAAAGTAGTCTGATTAATTATATAAAAGATCTTGAAGATATCAAGTGCAAAAAAAAAGTTTTAGAAATAAATATTCAAATAAATATAATGGCCTCACAACAGAAATATGTCGGTATATAAATATCCACATTACTTGGCAACAGATGGGAGATTGGTTTTTTACCGTTATACTCTGATGCTCAATCCTCAGCTTTTCCACTCCTGCACCATATAATTCCCTTAATAAACACATTATTCTTGTCTTTTTTCCAGCTCCTGATGGTCCATACACCAATAGATGAGGGAAGTCACCACACTGAACCTGAACACAAAGCAACAAGATTGGTTAGCTACAACAGTATTTTCCTTATAAGAGAACATTCATCCTTCCATTCTCACCCAAATTTATATGAAATTACTCTTCCAGCTCAGTCACAACATAGTACCTATACTTAGAACTGCTGAATTCATTTCCTGCAGCAGTATTTCCTACAGAACATCATATTATTTCTGAAGACTATATGTCATCTAACTTCAGATACCTCATCCCTGGCCCAAACAACAAAACAAACGCAAAACACAAAATAAATCACCCTAGTTTTGCAGGGTTTCTGGAGTAACAGCTGCAACAGCAGCAACAAGCTGGATTAAAAGTTTAAAGCAGATATACACTTACATAATTATGAGAGATATGCACATATATAATTACTTTGTTGTTTCATCTACAAACCTTGAATATGGGCAAGTAATAGATAGCCTGTATTTAAATAAAGTTAAGAGGCTTTTTTCTTGAAAAACTAAAAAGCATGACCTGGAGAACACCTGACCAAACCCCTCAATCAGAATTTACATTAGATGTAAAGGTCATAGAGAAACACTGTGAGAGTGAATCAGTCTGACGGCCTAGTGAGGAGTCACCACATCTGGCAGGGAAAGCAGTTCTTTAACATCCAAGCAATTACATCGTCCTGACTTTCATTCCCAGCGGCTCACCTTAAAAACTTCAGCTAACTTTTAAGTAAACTAGGTAAGCCCTATTCTCAGGGATACTGATCGCTCTAAGCTAAAACCCGCAGGACGCACGTCACTCCTGATAAAGCCAAACCACTACTTTCGCCCCTTCCTCAGCATAACGGGCATGCTCCCGAGCGGGGCACCACGCCAGCAGACCGCCTTCCCACCGGCTGGGAAGCTCCTCCGAAGGCTGGGGCCTGCACCGAGGGAAAGCCCCCAACCCCCGCCCTGCACACCCGCGGGAGCGGCTTTACGTGCCGCGGAATCCCGCTTCCTGGAGAACCCTCGGTGCCGGGAGGAGCGAGGCCCGGCGGCGGGCTCTCCTCAGG